GGGCAGAAAGTGGAAATGAAAGCAGACAACAGAACATTGCTAGAGAGCAGGAAAGGAGGTGAAAGGAGACAATTTTAGAGAAGAAACTGTTTCGGTCGCTACCCGGATTCGAACCCAGGACCTTTGAATGAGAGGCCAACACCTTAGCCTCTAGGCCACGAGAGCCCCCTGATAGATGTTTGATAGGAAAGAAGAAGCATTCTATCTAAGACTGACTCGTAAAGTCACCACAAACATGATAAAAAATGACATTTGTAACATTTTCTTTTCTTGGTATGTTCCTTGCACTTTCTTTCCTTGCACTAACGACAACAGTTGGCCCGTCAATGTCTGACGATGACCAATACAACTACAGAGAAGATAGTATTTCTCAAAGTGTACAAGTAAGGATTAAGATGACTTCTGGCTTCTGTTATCCCTCCTTCTGTTATCTCTCCCTCTGTTATCTCTCCTTCTGTTTTCTCTCCTTCTGTTTTCTCTCCCTCTGTTATCTCTCCTTCTGTTATCTCTCCTTCTGTTATCTCTCCTTCTGTTATCTCTCCTTCTTTTCTTTGTAAGCTACTTTCTGGTAACACCTCGACTATTCGGCCCTTCTATAAGACTCAATTATGTTAGAAGCGCCGCAAAAATCTGTCTAAAAACTCAAGTCTCATTTATTTCCTCCTTCGGGCGGAACCGGAACAAGACGAAGAGACGGCCCTTTTCCGACCCCATCAATCATAGTTTCCACACTTCCGCCGGAAGTGCCAGGAGAGTCATTTGTTGAGCCCTGCGCCTGCGCACCAGAACGAACTGTCTTCGACGTGTCTCTTTTCGTTCTCTCCTCCTCTACGTTCTGTCCTCCTCTTCTTTCTCTCCTCCTCTTCTTTCTGTCCTCCTCTACGTTCTGTCCTCCTCTACGTTCTGTCCTCCTCTACGTTCTGTCCTCCTCTTCTTTCTCTCCTCCTCTACGTTCTGTCCTCCTCTTCTTTCTCTCCTCCTCTACGTTCTGTCCTCCTCTTCTTTCTCTCCTCCTCTTCTTTCTGTCCTCCTCTACGTTCTGTCCTCCTCTACGTTCTGTCCTCCTCTACGTTCTGTCCTCCTCTTCTTTCTCTCCTCCTCTACGTTCTGTCCTCCTCTTCTTTCTCTCCTCCTCTACGTTCTGTCCTCCTCTTCTTTCTCTCCTCCTC